ACCAGTGTTTTTGAAAGCCAAGCAAAAAAACGTTGTAAATTACAGCATTTTTGGCGGGTTGATCGCAAAAAATGCTGGTATTTACAATGTTTCTGCAATTTCAAGCAAACGTGGAAGGCACGAAACACTGTAAATAGCGGTGTTTTGGCAACTTTTGGACGCCGAAACGCTGGTATTTACGCAGTTTTTTGCTTGTGACGGGGCCACTCCCCTGTAAATTATAGCATTTTTTGCACGTTTTGAACCGATTTTTTGTCTTGATGAATGCAAAAAACGCTGGTATTTACACGTTTTTCAAAAAATCGAAGATCGTGATGTGAACGAAACTCTGTAAATAAGAGTGTTTTAGCCACTTTCGGGGACTAAAACTGTGGTATTTACACGGGTTCTTACCAATTCACAGCTCAAAATGCTGTAAATTACAACACTAGGCATAGGCCAACATAGCCTCAAGATGGGCCAACATAGCCCCAAGATGGGCCAACATAGCCCCAAGATAGGCCGCCGACCCTCAGCATGTCATGTTCGCAAGTTCAGATGACATCCCCCTCTCTCTTTCCCTCCCCCGACCCCTACCGGCGTCGCCGGTGTGCGAAGCTCTACAATATATATATATGACATCTCACAAGCTCTCATGTTTTTTTTCGAGTGGTCGACGTTTTACATCTGATAATGTTTAAGGGCAGACCAATTGTTTGAGATGCCACTATTTCCTACTATTTCACCGGATTCTAAAATAATCTGAGTACATCCCATAAACATCTGAATAAACAATGGGATTGTCGGTTATCATAGAATCGATGGGATATCTATCCTATCGTAATTCAACATAGCTTTCGAACATCACCATGTTCAAAAACGGTAAATCATCCAACTAAGTGGTACCATAGCTATGAATATGGCTATGGGAAAAATCCAGGATTAGTTCGACGATTTTCCCAAAGTTCCTAGAGTTATATAGGATTTTCCAGCATTTTCCAGCATTTTCCAGCATTTTCCATGTTTAATGAAGCCATTGGCCGATCCCATGGCCACATGGCCACCTTTGGCGCGCCTGCTCCACAGGCCAGTTTGGCCCGAAGAGCCAAGCTTCGCACCATGGCGCCGCTGGAGGGCCTCAGTCAGTTTCTATCCCTAGTTGTGGAAATAAATGTTTATTGATATTTATTGATATTTATTGATATTTATTGACATTTATTGATATTTATTGATATTTATTGATATTTATTGATATTTATTGATATTTATTGATATTTATTGATATTTATTGATATTGATTGATATTGATTGATATTTATTGATATTTATTGGTATTTATTGATATTTATTGATATTTATTGATATTTATTGATATTTATTGATATTTATTGATATTTATTGATATTTATTGATATTTATTGATATTTATTGATATTTATTGATATTTATTGATATTGATTGATATTGATTGATATTTATTGATATTTATTGATATTTATTGATATTTATTGATATTTATTGATATTTATTGATATTTATGATATCACCATGTAGTTATCATATGTTTATATATGTTTATCATATTCCCAAAGGAACAATACCAATAAAAATAATGATAAATAATAATAACAATAATAGTAATAAACACAAATAATAATAATTAATAACAATAATAATAAATAATAACAGTAGTCATAATTAAATATATATATATAATTTATAATATATATACCCTTTTCTTATGGTTATATCCCGATTTAGCTCCAGTATTGTGAATTTGGAGGCAAACTCCTCCAACTTCACCCGGTCCCCCCACCTGATCCCTGCTTTTAACAGCTGTAGGGAAGCCCGCAAGAGGACGCCAGAAATCAGAGGTTCAGGACCTGGTCCCGGAGCGACCAGGTCAACAGGTTTACAGTACCATCTATGATGGGGCTAACAAACTGGAACCAACTGGATATGATGAATTTTTGTCATCAAAACTCATCAAACCAATCAATGGATGGTTGGCAATTCCAGAGATCGGTGGTGCTAGATCCCAAGATATCCCATCTAAAATTGGTCGTTAACCCAGGATATAATGGATGGTTTCTTTTTGCACAAAGAATTGAGGGACTGAAACAAACAATTATTTGGTTGGTATGGAAGTAAAGTTGCTACTTATCCCATTATGTAACAAAGATTTATTGGCAACAATGGGAAACCATTGAAGATACTTGTATTGTTGTGTCCAACAGGATGATAAGTCAGTTGGCATAGATTGTTCCAATTGTCAAATGTCTGGAATTAAACCATCTTAGATCCAGAAGCAGGTTGGTGATTATGAAGGATGAAAGCAACACCAACGAATCCTCAAACAACTTTGTGCAAAGATGTACAAAGTCGACCAATGGAAATTGACCCTCAAAGCTGACTTGGTTGAGGCGTGAAAACAAAAAATCATAATCCTGCTCGTTTTAGTAGCCGTGAACTGCTGCTTCCCCGCTGGGAATCACCAAACTCGCGTGCTTTCCCTCCGATAATTTCATATAGCAAAAACTGTGAAAATTACGAAAGGAATTGCTAAAGGTTACCCTCTGGTAATTTAAGATAGCTATTGAAAATGGCCATTTGTAGTTGATTTACCCATTAAAAATGGTGATTTTCCGTAGTTATGTAAACGTTTACCAGAGGGTACCTGACATCCCAGCGCACCCAAGTCCCATGTCCAGCCACAAGCTGAGACTCAAGCGACTGCTGGTCAGCAAAGCTCTGTGACACGTGTCTGCAAAGTTGGGGCCTTACCAAAATTGCTCACGTCACGGGTGCGGTTCAAAATTACCCCAACAAATTGGATGATTTCATAGCAACATATAGCAAACATATCCAACCCCCAAATCCATTACAAGTGATCACTATTTTTGAGTTTTAGTTGGAATTTACCAACTTCATCAACTTCTATGGTTTTTTGGGGCTTGCCAAAAAGCCGTGACGTGAAAAAAACATCCTCCCGTTTCGATTTCACCGTCGCCGCCAAACCGCCCTCAGCAACCGGGCCCATTTCATGTAGCAGTGGTGCAATGCCCCAAATCGCCTGGAGTTTTGCTCCGAAAAATGGACCATTTTGACTGGCGTTTCTTCATCAAATTTGCCGCGAATTCCACGATGATGTTGTGAAAGTGCCCTTGAAAAAATGCGCATGTGTTGAATGGAATGTTTCGCATGATGGACGTAGGAATCACCAGTGGTGAATCATCATCCCACTGGTGAATTTGGTTAATCCATGAGTTAATCCACTGGCCACTGGTTGATCCACTTGTAACGGGAAATCCCCTGGGGTGATCTCAACGCCTGCAGCTTCTGCGACATGAAGCGCGCAAGTTCGGGCCTAGGTCTGTGATTTTGTTGGTCAGCGGCATCAAATGGCAGTTTACAAGATAGGAGAAACAACTGAAGTGATCCTCCTTAATGATTTCTGCATAATTCTGCGATTTGACATGCCAATCATCGAATGGCTAAGAATCTGTCCACTGAATTAGTATATGAATTAGCTAAATTAGGATGAATCAGCTGCCTCATTCATAATTCATCACACTGCTCCCTTTTGGATCCTTTTGGAACAGCACTAGAGATTCGCGAAGTTCGTACCTGGGCCCAGACTTGGCAGATTGCGCCAGAATGTCCCGAAAGCCTTGACGGCACGGAACGCGGAAAGAGACTGAACTTCACAAGTCATGAGATTCAACAACTAACTTGTCTGCTTGAGGCATCACATATATTTGAAGCATTTTGAAGCTGGTCAACTTGCACAACTTAGAGCTTGCTCGGACATGCTCCGAAAAACGCTAACTTTAACAGTAAAATTTAAAGCAGTGGAGAAAAATCACACAAAATATAGGGCTACATTGCATTGGATAGTTCATAGCGATGAAACATAGTGATACATGAGAAACATGACAAAAGAAATTCCAGCCCCAGCCATGGCCATGGGCTGCCATGGGCAGCATGACCAATTGATCCCTTTTTTTCCAGCAGGATCTTGGAGTTCCGAGCTCTGTTCCAAAGCTTCCAGTGGCTCACGATCCTGGAAATGGATCTCAACGGGACTTCTCCGTTTCGTCCGTTTCAGCTTGTGTTCGTTTGGAAACATGTCTGACAGGAACTCTGGAGGAAAAACAGGTAACGCCATGGGTTTTTGGATTGGTAAGGTTTCTCATGTTTCTTGATCAACACTTTGCCTTAGGATGCCTCCAAAAATTCCCGCCTGCTCTGCCACAAGCGCTCTGGCCAGACACAGCCTCAATTGATGAGATCGGGCTGCCTTAAACATCCTGAAACCATTGCATTTCAAGATCCAAACAAACACAAAGATCAGCAAATCAGATCAGAAATCCATGCACAAAAATCCCATCCCCCAATTATAATATCAGAAGAATTTAGTACAGCAATAGTAAAACCGTCCCGAATTCACCATCAATGTTTGGTGTAAGCCCTCGAAATATGGGTGGTTTATGGCATTGCTTTACTAACATGACGTTACCCAATTTGGGGAAGCAGGTCGACCTGGTAACGAAAGACACCATTGGGGCCACCGGCACGGCTTGTCCGCGAAAGACAGGATCTTCCGGTGGCACAGAAACCTCCGCGGAAGTGTCCAAGTTTCCGCATAATAGATTGATAGGGGATACATACATACATACATACATACATACGTACGTACGTACATACATACATACGTACGTACGTACGTACGTACATACATACATACATACATTACATACATTACATACATTACATACATTACATACATTACATACATTACATACATTACATACATACATACATACATGCATACATACATACATACATAACATAACATAACATAACATTACATTACATTACATACGTACGTACGTACGTACGTACATACATACATACATACATACATTACATTACATACATTACATACATTACATACATTACATACATATATACATACGTCTACGTGTATGTATGTTTGTATGTATGTATGTATGTATGTAGGTATGTAGGTATGTAGGTATGTAGGTATGTAGGTATGTAGGTATGTAGGTATGTAGGTATGTAGGTATGTAGGTATGTAGGTATGTAGGTATGTAGGTATGTAGGTATGTAGGTATGTAGGCATGTAGGTATGTAGGTATATAGGTATGTATGTAGGTATGTATGTATGTAAGTATGTATGTGTGAAAGTATGTATGTGTGAAAGTATGTCAGTATATCAGTATGTCTGTCTGTCTGTCTGTATGTATGTATGTAAGTATCTATCTATCTATCTATCTATCTATCTATAATCACTACAATCTAATATCATCCAGAAATATAAATGACTATATATCAAAAAAAATATATATATATATCCCAAAAAATTTCATTAACAAAGCTAATAATGAGTAGATTATATATATATACACAGTATATATGTATTTATATATTATAGTATCATATAGCTTCCCGTGACTTCATCTCAGGTTCCAAGATCTTCGATCACTTGACATCAACAACTTCTCGGGTCAGGGCAACTCTGGCTGCGCTCCGAATACAGCCCAAGCGCTCGATCAGCGCAGTCTCTGAGTCCTACCAGATCTGGGCAGATCTGGGCAGATCTGGGCATTGGGCATGGGTCGAAATGCTCCATTTTTAACGGACAGGTGATACGGTGATAGCAAATTTGAGCCAAGCCTATCTCTCAAAGTGAAGGGGTTGACAGTTCCAAAGCATAGCTTGCTTCTACGCAAGCTCTGAATTCCAAATGAGGGCAAAATCACACACCCACTGAATCCCATTTCCTGGACTCGGCATTGATCAAAGTGCTGTCTCTTTCAACAGCTCGCAACGAAGTGCAGGACACAGGCCTGGATCTTCTTGGGCCTCAAGCTGTTGAGCATAAAAATCCATAGTTTTCTTTTGTCCTTGGAAGCAGTGATCGTGCAGATATCACCTTTAAGAAAGATCGCCCCACATGTATGTATGGGTTTCTGACTCTTAAGGAAAGTTGCACCCTCACATACATTAGTAAGCAGCTACAGCTTTAGCGCGAAGTGTGCTTTTCGGAGCTGAGCAAACTGAGCAAACTGAAACTGCATCCCCCAATTTCTTCCTGCTGATTGCTTCCTGTTGCTTGACAAGGCACGTGATCCATCTCTCACCGGATCCAGCTAAGAAATCAATTGCAGCATGATGCTCAGCCAATCACACAACGCAAATGCGGGCAAATAATGCCTGTGCTGATAGTTCAGCCAGTGTTCATGTGAAAGTTCTCTACAAGCTGCTACTGAACAAACGACCATCACAGCGCAGTGATTTACCAGCGATCCATGCTCACTATGCTTGCTGAGAGTTGGATGTCATGCTTCAGCAAGCCTCCTTGCGCCTCTGCCTGTTCCCAAACTTGAGCTTGAAAAGTCCGAGCATCAGCAATCCCATCTACCAATGGTTTTGAAGCAAAGCACACCCGCGACGGTCGCCGCATCGCTTGTACCTCCGTTGAATTCTCGCTCGTACCTCTCTCATAGTTACTAGTACTACTAGTACTACTAGTACTACTAGTACTACTAGTACTACTAGTACTACTAGTACTACTAGTACTACTACTACTACTACTACTACTACTACTAGTACTACTACTACTATTACTACTACTACAGATCATGGCGTTGTGGAAGGCGAGGGGGGGCAAGTTTAAATAAAGAGTTAGATTTTAGATCATGGCATTGTGGAAGGCAAGGGGGAGAAGTTTAAGTAAAGAGTTCGAATTTAGATCATGGCATTGTGGAAGGCAGGGGGGGGAAGTTTAAATAAAGAGTTCGAATTTAGATCATGGCATTGTGGAAGGCAAGGGGGGGGAAGTTTAAATAAAGAGTTAGATTTTAGATCATGGCATTGTGGAAGGCAAGGGGGGAAGTTTAAATAAAGAGTTAGATGTTAGGTCATGGCATTGTGGAAGGCAAGGAGGGGAAGTTTAAATAAAGAGTTCGAATTTAGATCATGGCATTGTGGAAGGCAAGGGGGGAAAGTTTAAATAAAGAGTTCGAATTTAGATCATGGCATTGTGGAAGGCAAGGGGGGAAGTTTAAATAAAGAGTTAGATTTTAGATCAGGCATATGTGGAAGGCAAGGGGGAAGTATAAAAAATAAAGAGTTAGATGTTAGGTCATGGCATTGTGGAAGGCAAGGAGGGGAAGTTTAAATAAAGAGTTCGAATTTAGATCATGGCATTGTGGAAGGCAAGGGGGGAAAGTTTAAATAAAGAGTTCGAATTTAGATCATGGCATTGTGGAAGGCAAGGGGGGGAAGTTTAAATAAAGAGTTAGATTTTAGATCATGGCATTGTGGAAGGCAAGGGGGGGTGAAAGTTTAAATAACAAGTTAGAATTTAGATCAAAGTCTAAAACTAGAGTTAGATTTTAGATCATGGCATTGTGGAAGGCAAGGGGGGAAAAAGTTTAAATAAAGAGTTAGATTTTAGATCATGGCATTGTGGAAGGCAAGGGGGGAAGTTTAAATAAAGAGTTAGATTTTGGATCATGGCATTGTGGAAGGCAAGGGGGGGAAGTTTAAATAAAGAGTTAGATTTTAGAGCATGGCATGGTGGAAGGCAAGGGAGGGGAGTTTAAATAAAGAGTTAGATGTTAGATCATGGCATTGTGGAAGGGAAGGGGGGGAAGGTTAAGTAAAGAGTTAGATTTTAGATCATGGCATTGTGGAAAGCAAGAGCTTTCCAAAATTTCAATAAAGAGTTAGATTTTAGTGGAGGCTCAAGTGAGAAGGTAGTGGAGGCGCAAGTGAGTAGGAGTGGAGGCGCAAGTGAGTAGTTGGAGGCGCAAGTGAGTAGGAGGTACAAGTGAGAAAATTTTGGAGGCGCAAGTGAGTAGTTTACCCCCGGGACTGCCAGAGAAGCACACCTTGTAAATGTCCAACTGTACGGCCTTAAAAGCCATGCTCTTCCACTGATCTCCACCCTTCCCCCCGGATGTGACACAACTTGTTGCGAGGCAACAGGGTCTGCTGGGCCCAGGCTCAGAGGTAGACATAAACATCGGTTCCCTGAGCCAAAGCCATCGGTGCGTCGTTCGGACCTGACTTGATTTAAAGGTGTGGGAGTTGGCATCGAAAATTTCGGAAGCCCTTTGAATCTGTTGAAACCATCTCATTGGTTTGGAAAAAACATAAGGTATGTTCCCAATTATTCCCATTATCATGCGTTAGTCTTTGGTTAAATCACATTTGTTCATGGTTGAATCCCTATTTTTGATGTTTAAGCCCCCATATGTTGAATTGATTTCCCGATCCATGTTGGTGGCACATATTCCAGTTATAAGTTTATAAACTCCACAAACATCCATGAACTATATTTCTATCCCCCATAAAGCCTAGTTATATATGATAGCTATATCATGTTATATCACCTTGTTGTATCCCCATTGGCGGACCCCTGTTGAGCACCTGGTACCGCAGCCCACCTGTCCAGGAATGGAGTTCACGTCGATGTCGCCAGCGAAATAGCGAGCCATTACTCGACTAATCCTGGGATTTATATGGGAAGATAATGGAAGAGTTATATGCAATGTACCCTCTGGTAATTTAACATAGTTATGGAAAATCACCATGTTTAATGGGAAAATCCACTATAAATCACCATTTTCAATAGCTATGTTAAATTACCAGAGGGTAATGGAAATTTATAGTGGGAATTTGATGGGAAATTATAATGGGAATTTCATGGGATGATAAATGGCATATCATGGGAATATATCATGATTGTATCATGAGCATGGAATAGGAGAACTACAGTACTTGGTGGGGCGAACTACCTAGGAATCTTAAGTATGGTATTTCACCCCAGTTTTGACTGGGTTAGCTGGGGACAATGTTCTATTACAACTGGGGTTCGTCCTTAAGAATCAGCATTAGGGCTCTTCCATGATCTTACCATCAAAACTTGAGGATTGTAAAACCAACCAAAATGGAGACACAATGGTATATATGGTAAAAAAAGGATATAACTATATAACATATATGTACAAATATGATGTG